GTCTGGTCCCAAGTCGATCGCGGGTGAAATGGGGGGGAGGGGGGCGGCTCAGCTCAGTAGAGTTGAGCTGAGTGTAAACTGCACTCTAAGCAGCCTCTTGGTTTCACGTTGACCCAAAAGTATTTAAAAATGAAAAAAAAAACAAAAAAAAAAGGTCACCATTCACCTCCGGTGGGGCGTGACCTCCATGAGCGGAAGTTGTTTAGCGGTTAACGCTCTACAATTGAGCTGTTGTGATCGCTCTTTTTTCAAAAAAAAAATTGTCATCGGGTCACGTGAGCGCCGATTGTGAGCACGCCGCCAAAGTGCGTCCCGTGCCACCGCATCAGGTCTCCCACGAAAGTAGGCAGCCATTTGCTTTTCCCAAACTCCCAAACTCTTGCGTCTGCTTCATGTTTCTGTTTCGCTCATGTTAGGGGCCGCGATGGCCGTCGCTGGCTCACGCGTGTGTCAGTGCGCTCACGGTTGCTCTTTCCTGCTCGGGAACGCGGGAAGCAAGAACAGGTGCAAGAGCTCCTCATATGAAATATGTTACTTCAAATGGTAACCAGGTTATCCTTTTATCACCTTGACAACGCAAAGCATCTGCGTTGGAACGCGTCATCAAGACTCTTAGCTGCACAGCTATATATATTTATATATATATAGGATGGATCCATTTATTTTTTGTTCCTCCAGTAAGTCAAAGTCAAGTGCGTTGCAGTCATCTGGCCAAGAAATGACTGTTTCAAAGTCACAAAGACAAAAGGGTGGACTGTACATGGAAGGACTGATCGCTTAAGGGCCAATGGTGTCTTACATAATTGCTCTTGCTTTTTGCAAATTTGTGGGCGGCGGCGGTGGCGCGGAATGTCTCTGGAAATATCCATCCGTCGGGCCCGAAATAAAGACGCCGGGATTTGTCTGATGACCCCCCCGTGACGAAGACGTCTGGCCTACAAGGCGATGTGTGAAGATGAAGCACCACAGTGGGGACTTAAATGACGACCGAATAATTATTTATCATTTTCACTTGTACTTCAACTTTAC